TCCCCAGATTATGCCAGACAGAGTATGCACCCCGCGGTGTCTGTGGTACGGAACAAAATGGAGAGGGGGAATTGGATCCGACTTGATCATTTTAGATGATGCCCGACCCCGCTATTCAGTATGAATGTGCAAACTTGTACCACCACCAATTTGCGCACGGCACGTTCCGTAGTTCTATATTCATTTCAGCACTGTGTGGTGAACAGATAAAATACCGAGTCAACGACTCCTACTTGGTGTTGTAATTGATTTATTGGCCGCCGTTAATACTAAATATTAGAGGCCGATTAGATGTAAATGGCAATGAGTCGTGAGTATGGGAAAGGATGCGGCTGTCTCGTTTTGTCTCACTATTTCTTTTTTCCATCTTTAGGCTACACCCACTATCAATATGTTTGACTTTGGGCTTGCAGCTCTGCTTGTCTTCAGCGGGCTGGATATGCTGGATGTTGCCCCCATCTCGATTCCTCTGGACCTGGACCGAGCCCGGCCTCGAGTCAATGCTTTGTTGTTAACAATGTAGGATTTGCCGCCTATCGTGAGGTCGGTTGGCACTATAGACTGGAAAAGCCTGGCTGGATCCATAGTGCGGCGCAGATATAATGTACGTACCGCATCTTGTGCATGATGTAGAAATCGTGCCTTGGACTGTGTCTCTCGTTGAGATATATGATGGCCTGCAGGTTGCAACCCTCCTCGATGCCGTGCCGCATGTATGCATCGGGCAGTTGAGGATGGTCAGACTGCGACTTACAGATTGATAAGTTTCAAACATGAATATCAAGCAATAATGGCGCTGATAATCATGATAATAAATGGTACAGGAACTGCTGAGAGAGATTTGATTATTACATAGTACGTCTTGCTATATACGAGGCGTGGCCGAGAAAATGCAACCCGCAGCACAAGCCACAGCAAAAGCGTTGGCGATGAATGTGATGCATTGTTGCGTGGCACTGTCCTAGCTAACCTACCAATGAGCATCGCCTTTTGCCCTGCCCTTGTTTTCTTTTCTTTCCCGGCTGCTACAGTTGGACAGAGACGATGATGAGGCCGTTTATCGCCATTACGTGTGCATGAGCCGGTGCCTGAGTAGACAGTCTCTTCTCGCTCCGTTTGCTTGTCTTGGGAGCAGACTGCAACGGGATATTCCAAGTAGATGCCCAGTAGCATGACATGTGGGAAACTACATTTCCAGTCCAAGGTTGCACTCATTCTAAAAAAAAATAGCAGATTGAGGCAACCTGTGTCCATGTGTATCTATTGGATTGCGCGACGTCGGGTCGTGTTTCGTTAAAAATGCTCCGGAGTCGTGAAGTCTATTCCCTCGTTGTCATTGGTGGTTTTTCAGCTGTGATGCTAGACAGATTGATAAGAGAGAGAGAAGGAAAAGTAAAAAGATAGGCTCTGACACCACTTCCACGCACCTAGGTTCACAAGACAGTGAGTGGCCCTACCTAGCGCACGTTGATGCAATGCAACATTATTGGATCATCCGAGGCGACCCCAAGCCTGCCGGGGGTCTGCGGGTAGGAGACTTGCAGAGTCATGAATGAGGGCCCTAGCATCATCCTCTTCTTCTTCATCATTATTATCATCATCATCGTCAGACTAGTGCTATGAGGTGATTTTCTTTGTACGGGTCTGGTCTCACCTCACCTCACACAGACCCCAGGTTCTCTGATCCATGTTGTCTTTGGTTTCGATAAGCTACCTGCCGTAGGCCCTGGTCCCCTGGGCTGGGCGTTTTGCTGGGGGTTCACAACGTTTTTCTCACCCCTGGTAAATTGTCTTGGAAAGGGCCGGCATTTTCTAAGGCTGTGATTTCCATTGTATGGTTATCTGGATGATGAAAGACTCGAGACTAGCCCGTATAACTTCTGTACCCTTCCATCTCATTTATGCTGCACGTATT